TGTGTGTGTGTGTGTGTGTGTGTATAAAGTGTATAAAGTATATATGTAGTGTGTGTGTGTGTGTGTGTGTGTGTGTGTGTGTGTAAAGTGTATAAAGTATATACATGTAGTGTGTGTGTGTGTGTGTGTATTTACCTTCTTGTTGATGTCTCTCAGAGCATCGAGCTCTTTCAGTAAAAACGAGATATTTTTATCTGGATCGAAACTCTGACCTCGACCGGACGCTGTGATTGGACCCAACGTGACCTCCTGATGAGAGCTGCAGGAAACAAGCGTCAGTGAACGAATCACTGATCTGTTCTTACACAGTGACCTCTGCTTTCAATGTGGGAGGTTGATATTAAACGAGGCGTCGACATCTTGCCACATCGTCCTGTTTCAGGTGTTCTAAAAGGTATTTTACAGTTTCCTGATAATCAATAAAAGTATTTGATGACTCATAATGCTGCGTCCAATCAAACGCTTTCTCTCTTCTGACACCGCCGGAGTGTTTCTGAGGGTCGTTACAAACTATGACCTCACTGAGTACTAACACCTACTGTAGAGCTACATCAGCTAGTCAGCACTACTTCATAGCTACCACCTCAGTACTGGATCCGGCTCCTGATGCTGAATCACTGTATGAATGTGTGTGAATGAGTGAATGTGTGTGAATGAGTGAATGTGTGTGAATGAGTGAATGTGGCATGTAGTGGTTGGAAAACTAGAAAGGAATAACAGCTACAGTCCGTTTACCATTTCAGGCTTCATTTGGGATCATACAGACTCAAAGAGAGGAAATGTTTGAGGCTACAAGAATTCTTTAAATATGAATTGTTACACAACGAGTGTAATGAGTGAGCATCTGTGAGCAAACACACAGGAAGTCAGTGCAGGACAGGATGAGAGCTGCAGAGCGGGTCAGCTGGTGGTCAGTGAGGGCTGTGATTGGTCAGGACTCAGCTGAGTGTTTCATTAGAGTCTCACCTGTGTGTAGTCAGGTCAGGTGTTTTAACCTCACATTATCAGATGTGAGGTGGAGAGATGAAGGCAGCAGGTTATGAGGCGTTGCTTTAATAAGCAGCGACTGATGTTCGCCTGTAATTCTCTCATATTACCTTAAAGGTCAGACTGCTTCTTAGCGTAATAAAGCGGGTAAATAAGACACTGAAATATGGCTGACACTGTCTTCTGTAATTGACTGTTTCTGACTTTATAATATCAGCTGCTTCTAATCAACTTTCCTCTCCTCCCGCCTCGACTGCTTTTACTATCTTTCTATTTCTGTCTGCCTCTCTCCAACGCTTCCACTAATCAAATCAAATCTAAATTTAATAGGTCACATTTCACACAGTGATGCAACTCCACAAATTTCATTTGAAAATGCATCAAAAAGACACAAAAGACGCAAAAAAACCCCCCACATGAATTAAAGAATCTAAAGAAGGTTGAAGTTTAATGAAAAGCAATAAACTTTTTAATAAATGTGCTCACTGTAGAGCGACTCTAAACACATTAACAGTCAGAAGAGTTTCCAATATCGATAATGAGGTTATTATTAAAAGTTGTAATCATCTATAGATCTCATACAGCACGTCTTCTGACTTTTATTTTGGAAGCATTCACATCAGTAAAACAGGAAGTTGTTTACTGCCGAGTATCAGAGAGTGACGGACTGTAGTAGTATAGACAATCTCACCTGTCGTCAGTGCTGACCAGCTGTCTTCTGATTCCAGGACTACCAGGCCCTCTGGATGCTCGCCCTCCATCAGGGACGTCTCCACAGCTCTCTGCCCGAGGAGAAGGGCCTCGGCTGGGGGAAAGGTCTGTCTCCATCTCCCCTGCACCTCCTGGAGGCCACAAGGACG